AACATCTGTGTCTGTCCCACAATCGCTATGGAAATTTGAACTATCCTCTATACTGGAGGCGATCACAACACTCCCTGGTAACTGCTTTTTGGTAGGTGACTTTAACTCGGATATGCTACTACCAGACAAGCCGCCAAGGGATGGTTGTGTCAATATACCGTATTTATTTGAGTTTGAGTGGGAGTGGAGGCGGTGGGGTAAGGGTGGGTGCTTATTAAGTTTTTCTGCCTTTAGGACGGCCGCTTATTCGAGGTGGGCGCTACTTTGAGGTTGGGCGCTTATTCGAAGAAATACGGTATCTGTCTGAATTCATTTACACGTGGCCACTAGGTTTTGCGCCCGGAGCCGGGCTGCAGACCACCCTGGTGTACACAACTTGAGGGGGTTGCCTTCAAGGCCGTCACAGGCAGACATCTCAGGAATACAAAAATATGAAACGGCAAACTCTTCAGGGGCTAAGAGAAAAATGAAGATAAAACTAAAAGTTCGTTACAAATAATAGTTTGAAAAATATGACAATATAAACAATGGATTGTTATTGGTGTAGGAGACTAGGTAGTATCTTACATCAGTGGGATTCGTCACGTCTATTTATTTCTCGAGGAGATAATGTGATCCCTTTGCGTATTAAATGAGCTTCTCTAGCCTTTCTCACTGCGTCACGGTTGCCGCGTATGAGTTCAAGTGGGATTAAAATGACGTCGTTGATAGAATGTCCAGCTTGATTAAAATGTAGGGAGACAGGAGTGGGATCGCTGAGTTGACGGTGGTTCCAGAAGGATCGGCGGTGTTCTCCAAATCGTTCATTAAGTTGACGTTTGGCCTCTCCAATGTACTGGCATCCGGCATTTACATGTGTTGCATTGCATCATCGTTTCTGGGCAACGTATCGTAAAGTACTCGATAAAAACCGTCTCCATGACCTCTCGATTACGTATTCGGCACTCCAATCGAAACCCTGGAATCGAGACTCGTTCAACCTGTCTCGTTGTCTCTTTACATGTCTTGTCCCTTAAAAAGCAGTGGAATCCCAGAGGATTAATTATCAATTCCATTAGCAGTTTTCTTTTGAAAAGCTGTGAATCGGACATACAAATTATTTGAATAAGTTAAAAAAAAACAGACAAACAAACCTGTTTCTTTTCCTCCTTTTTAACAAAAAATCTTTTATATGGAGCATCACTACCATCATCGTCATCACCATCATTATCTCCGTCATCGTCATGCTTGTAATCCTCTTCATCATCAACATCGTTAATATTACCATCATAACTGCCTTACCGCTGAGATTCATCTAAATGTAAGTATCCTTTTGTTAGCACTACTCGGTATCCTGTACCGTCTTATCATGGACAATTAATCTTATAGTCCCAGACTTTAATTGAATTGAACAATTTAGATAATATCAAAATTCATACTTGGTTCCGAAACTCAGGGGAATAAAACAAAAGAAATGTATTATTCATTGCTGAGCCTCAAGATGATTTCTTTTGTTTCATTCTCCTAAGCCTTGGAACTAATTATGAATTTAACATTGGTGTAGTGAATTGTAAAACACAAACCTCCTTCTTTATCACCAAAGTTATCATCAGCAGCATCATCATCATCACGATTACTATCTCCATCATTATCACAGTCTTCATCATTATCATCACCATCACTACAATCGCGAATATCAGCAATATCATTTCCGCACCCATGTAATCCTTGATCTAAATGGAAGTATAATTCTTTTGTTAGCTCCTAGGCCTCTAAAATACTGTTAAATGCCAGAACAAAGATGACCACATTGCGCCTGTTTGTATTGAGGCTTGCTGTTAAGGAGCAGCCTATTTAGTTTCTGTTAAAATTTTAAAAGCAGTCAGAACACAGTCTACAACATGAATGATGTCACTCCACATATCCCAAAGCGGTTTACAATGGTACAGTCGTGTGACTCGTAGTTGTGCAATCTACTCAGTGGACATACTACATCGGAGAATCGAATCCTGACCTTTACCATGACTGGACTCAACGCTCTATCAATTTATCTAATCAAGCCAACTCACAATGACTTTAACCTGAAATGGGCATTTCTTAAAT